CTGCTCCTCCATTGTGGCCCCAGGGACTCTCTTATGGAGGAGGGGCTTCCCACTGGCCTAGGCTCAGCCTTGCCTTCTCATCAGCTCTAACTGCACAGCTCGGCTGCCCAGGACCATCCAGGTGGCTGGGAGTCCTGGTACTCTCTGCTCTGCTGATTTGAAGGAGGGCGGGTGTCTCATGTGTCCAGTCTAACCTGCCAGGCTTGTCCACGTGCTCAGGGCCGACTGAAACTCTTCCTCTTTCAGTTGGAGCTAGAGGCAGGGCAGGGTGGGAGGAAGGAGCAGCCGTCCTGTCCCGCCGCACCCTAGCTGCGGGAGGTATTTACAAACACTCCTGGAACTCAGTGACCCTGTGCTGGTTCAGCCGCCCAGCAAGTCCTGTTCTTTGGGAGCGGGGAGGGGCGGCCACGGTGGAGTCCTCCCAGAGCCAGTGGGGAGCCAGAGGCCTGCAGGGTGCCCACCTTGTAACTGCCCCTGCTGTTGTCCCTGTGCATCCCCCAGCTTGGACTCTGGGTCTGGAAAATGGGTGACTCCTGGGCAGGGAGTCGTGGGGACATTGTGCTCTGGGCTGGGGGAGGGGAAAAACAGCTACCACGGCAGCTGGGGGCAGCAAACCGTCTCTAAGGCATACCTGGTGCTGGAGCTCTGCCACTCCCTTTTCTGAAAAATTTCCAGTTCCTGCCTTGGGAAGCCCCATTCCTTCCAGCTAACCCCTGCCAGTGGTCAGTGTCCCACGAGAGCGGTCTGGATTCCTCCTGGGGAGGCAGCTGTGCCCTACTTCAAACTACCACCTCTGCCTTCACCAGAGTCTATTTGTGTCCCACAGAAACTCAAACACATGAGGTCACAGGTGCTTCCCCACCCTCTTTGTCTTCTAATTGTTTCCATGAGTGGAAGACACGCTTCGTTTCACACTCAGCTGGAGGAGGCTGTCCAGTTAGGATTCATGCCTTGTCGTCTTTATTGGGGGAGCGGCACTAAACACGTGAGTGCTGGAGAGGAGCAGGGACTAGAGCTGGAAAACACTCCCAGGGTGTTTTGTTTTTTTTTTTTGAGACGGAGTCTCCTCTGTTGCCCAGGCTGGAGGGTGGTGGTGTGATCACGGCTCACTGCAACCTCCGCCTCCTGGCTTCAAGCAGTTCTCTGCCTCAGCCTCCCAAGTAGCTGGGCTTACAGGCGCTCGCTGCTGTGCCCGGCTAATTTTTGTATTTTTAGTAGAGACGGGGGTTTCACCATCTTGGCCCGGCTGGTTTTGAATTCCTGACCTCGTGATCCACACACTTTGGCCTCCCAAAGTGCTAGGATTACAGGTGTGAGCCACCGCACCCGGCCTTGTTTGTTTTTAAAGACAGGGTCTCACTATTGCCGAGGCTGGAGTGCAGTGGTGCAGTGTATCTTACTGCAGCTCCTGGGCTTCGGCAATCCTCCCACCTCAGCCTCCCTAGTAGCTGGGACTACAGGTAGATACCACCACGCCCAACTAATTTTTGAAGTTTGTTTTATAGAGACGGAGTCTCGGTATGTTGCCCAGGCTAACCATGAACTCCTGGGCTCAAGAGATCCTCTAGCCTTGGCCTCTCAAAGTGTTGGGGTTACAGGTGTGAGCTACTGTGCCCAGCCTCCCAAGGTCGGTTTTGAACTGAAACCTATGACTTTGTCCAGCTGGGGTGTAGTAGAACATTGGACTGGTAGGATAACCAAGAGGAAAGTATATACTCTCTGACTTAATTCAGTACCAACTTAGAAAAGACTCTAAGATGGGGAAGGGGTAGGCAGATTGGAGCAGAGGGCGAATAACTGCCAGGTGAAAATGAATGAAGGCATCTGGCTGTGACCTGCCTGGCAAGCTGTTGGCTGCTGGGCTCCTTCTGCTCATACCTGCCTTGCAATCTGAGAACAGCCTAACCAGGTCACTGCGCAAAGTTCTCTGAAGCCTGGTTCCCCTGGTCTCACACTGTGGCATAAACTCCTTAGCCTGGTGTTCATGGTGTGATCCCAGCCTGTCTAATTTCTGTCTTATTTCTACTATTCATTCTCAGTGGTCTCCTAAAGGATCCTACACTCCAGCCACAATGGGGTATGTGAAACCCGGAAACGCCACGACTCTCTGGTCCCCATACTTTTGCTTAGGCTGTTCTCCTGCTCTCTCCTCCTGAAACACTCTTCTGATATGTTTCCTCCTTTTTCTGTCAAATCTGATATATCCTTCAGGGCCCAGCTGAGCCCCTCCTCCTGCACGAAAATCCACCTGCTTACAGAAATCGCTCTCTCCTCAAAACACTCAAAGCATCATATTAGTCAGGACTTCCTTTAGATGATCATGGTGTGCCTTGGAACCGACTCTCATTCAGCTTTGTGGCCTTGGTAGCACCTGGCACATGCCTGGCACAAAGTAAGTGCTCAATAAATCGTAACAGGGTCTTTCTCTGTTGCCCAGGGTAGAGTGCAGTGGCACAATCACACTGTAGCTTCAAACTCCTAGGCTCCAGCAATCCACTTACCTTAGCCTCCTGAGTAGCTGGGACTATAGGTGCACACCACCATGCCTGGGTAATTATTTGGTTTTATTTTTCATCTTTTTGTAGTAATGAGGTCTTGCGGTGTTGCCCAGGCTGGTCTTGAACTCTTGGCTTCAAGTGATCCTCTCACCCTTGCCTCCTAAAGCACTGGGATTTCAGGTGTGAGTCTCTGTATCTGGTCTCAAGAAGCCTTTATGGAAATGAATTGAGCCGTGAGGTTGAATGAGTATAATGGATTATCCAGAAGAGAAAATGGCACCAAAACAACACAGTTCTGTTAGGCTTTCCTGCCTCTTCTATGCCTGCTGGCTCCTTCCCTCCCTCCTCCCATCGCCTTTACATATTTCCAACATGGCCAGGTGCAGTGGCTCACACCTGTAATCCCAGCACCTTGGGAGGTTGAGGCAGGCGGATAACTTGAGGTCAGGAGTTCAAGACCAGCCTGGCCAACATGGTGAAACCCCATCTCTACTAAAAATACAAAAATTAGTGAGTGTGGTGGCTTGTGCCTGTAATCCCATCTACTCGGGAGGTGTGAGAATCGCTTGAACCTGGGAGGCAGATGTTGCAGTGAGCTGAGATTGCATCATTACACTCCAGCCTGGGTGACAGAGCAAGACTGTTTCCAAAAAAAGAAAAAAAACTTTCCGACATACTAAACAGGGCTTTCCCGAACTGCAGCTGCACCCAAGTTTGTGTGGAGGCTGTGAAGAGACAAGTTGAATAATTTACCACCTGGTCCCTGCCCTCAGCAGGGCATAGGAAGTCAAACCTTGGAGAAATATGCGTGAAGCCTTGCAGTGGGAGGTTGGCAAGGACAGTCAAGGGTACAACAGGAAGGCCTGGAGGTAAAAAGTGTCTGGGCTACAGGTTTGTTTGTTCGGGAGATATAGAGAAGAATGAGGTAGGGTGGGGCCAAAATGGAATGCCTTGAAAATGTAAGTGTTGGTGAGGAGGGCGGACTAGTCTGTTCAGACCGAAGGTAACACAGTAGCTGGTGAAGCAGCCAGCAGGTTAGTAAGGCAATGTGCAGTGTGGACCAGAGGAGAGCCTAGAGATCGGAGGGACACGAGTAGCTATCTATGACTGGGGTTCGCGGATCAGGAAGAATCAAGAGATGCACTGAACCCCTGATTGGGAGTCAGGACACTGGGATAGCAGTCCCAGCTCTGTGGAGGGACCTTGGACTTGTCACTTCTCTCGTCTGAGCTTTTCCTTAACTGTAAAACTTTAAAACCTTCCACGTGACCTTTCCAATCTGATGACTCAGTTGAACAGTTGAGCCTTTGAACTAGGACCTGGGAAATGAAGGGAAGCAGCCAATCTAATAGGCATTTAGAACAAGGAGGGGACTACCTGGGAGCCCAGGGATAGAGGCAGGGAAAGACTAAAGAGGGCCTGGCCAGGGAGAAATGGGGAACTGCGGGCTGGAGGCCTGCCTCTGTCCTGATGTTTGATTTGGCAATCCCACTTTCAGTTCCTTCTTTCTTTCCTTTTTCTAACTCAGCCTCACCTTATCTGGTGAGGGGAGGGCAAAATAGGACACTCCCACATTGAACTCATGCCCCCCAGAATACCTTCCCCTGCCCCCTAGAATACCTTCCCCATTTTGGGTCCTCATAAGATCCTTACCTTCCTCTGCAGCCGCCTTCCTCCAGAGCAAGACTCCGCAGAAGTAGAAGGCGCAGTGAATTGAGTGGGCACCTTCCTTAGCACCCTCATAGTTACCAACTTTTTTTTTTTGAGACAGAGTCTTGCTCTGTTGCCCAGGCTGGGATAGCAGTGTGGCACCATCTTGGCTCACTGCACCTCAAACTCCTGGGCTCCAGAGATCCTGCAGACTCAGCCTCCCAAGTACCTGAGACCACAGGCGCTTGCCACCACTCCCATCTAATTATTTTTAATTTTTTTGTAGAGACAGGGGTCTGGCTGTATTGCCCAGGCTGGTCTCGAACTCCTGGGCTCAGGAGATCCTCCTGTCTCAGCCTCCCAACGTGCTGGGCATGGTTATTTACTGATAACTCACCATAAGGCAGGCACTGAGCCAAAAACTGTAATGCATTATTATTATTATTATTATTATTATTTTTTACAGCAATCCTAGTAGATGATTGTCAGGTGAAGAAATTGAGGCTTGACATTAGGTAATCTGCACAAGGCCACGACTGGCGATGTGGCCCTGGAAATGATGTCTGCCTCCCAAGTCAGTGCTTCGGCCAACTCCTTCCCGCCATGTGACCTTTGGCAGCTGGGGGCCCCATCCTCACCGACCATCTCTCAGATTAGATTCTCCACGCGCCCGCCCCTGCCCACGTGATCCTCCGCCTGCCTGGCCCCGCCAGCCCCGCCCCCGGCGCCCTGGTGCCCCGAGCTGCCGGCGGGGCGCGGCGCAGCAGGTGGGGCGGGCGGCGTGGGCAGGGGCGGGGCCTTGGCCTTGACGGGCGGGGCCTGGCGGGGGTGTGGCCGGAAGCCTTAAAGTGGCCTGGTCGCCTGGGCGTGCCGTAGAGGCCGCCAGTCGCGGCGATCTTCTCGCGTCTGGGGCGTCGTCGTCACCATGTCCCTAACGGCCTCGGCGGGCCGGGGCCTGGGGGCCATGTGGTCCCCAACCCACGTGCAGGTGACGGTGCTGCAGGCGCGGGGCCTGCGGGCCAAGGGCCCCGGGGGCACGAGCGACGCGTATGCGGTGATCCAGGTGGGCAAGGAGAAGTACGCCACCTCGGTGTCAGAGCGCAGCCTGGGCGCGCCCGTGTGGCGCGAGGAGGCCACCTTCGAGCTGCCGCCGCTGCTGTCCTCCGGGCCCGCGGCCGCCGCCACCCTGCAGCTCACCGTGCTGCACCGCGCGCTGCTCGGCCTCGACAAGTTCCTGGGCCGCGCCGAGGTGGACCTGAGGGAGCTGCACCGTGACCAGGGCCGCAGGAAGACTCAGTGAGTGCAGGCAGGGAGAGGAGGGCCGGCCTGGGGCGCGGACCCGTCGGGCAGGGCGGCCTGGGCGCTGGACCCTTCGAGAGTAAGCCGGGCAGCAGCGGGGAGACGTTTCCGGACCGAGCCCTCGGCCGGTGCTGGTGTTCTCACCTGGCTTCCCCTTCTGCAGCTGTCCCGCCCGACTCTCTTAGCTTTGGGGCTTTTTGGAAGCAGGGGCCGTATTTGGGCGCCTGTGTGTGTGTGTGTGTGTGTGTGTGAGTGAGAGACAGTCTCTCCCTCTGTCGCCTGGGCTGGAGTGCAATGGCAATGGCACGATCTTGGCTCACTGCAACCTCAGCCTCCCAGGTTCAAGTGATTCTCCTGCCTCAGCCTCCCGAGTAGCTAGGATTACAGACGTGCACCACCACGCCCGGCTAATTTTTGTATTTTTAGTGGAGATGGGTTTCACCGTGTTGGCCAGGTTGGTCTTGAACTTCTGACCTCAGGTGATCCGCCCATCTCGGCCTCCCAAAGTGCTGGGATTACAGGTGTGAGTCACCGCGCCCGGCCTGGAGCGCTTTTGAATTTGCTGGACGCCCCTCAGCTTCTGACACACTGTAAGCGCCAAGCGAATTTTAGATGAATTGCAACTATAGGTGAGCAAGTGTTTTCTTACTAAGGTGGGTAGCCCGTGTCTCTGTTACGCGCCTTCGCTTGCGTGGAAGGCCTCCGGGTATTTCACTGAATAGAAGAACACTTCGAGCCGAGAATGACTGGGCCAGGGCGCAGGACAGATAAGCCGAAGGCTTGAAACCCGCCGACACCCCCACCTTAAAGACTAACCCGCCTTTGCACTGCGGGTCGGGTCGGGTGGAGGTTGGGGGAGGGGAATGGCATGTGCCGACTGTCACGTGATTGCAACTCCCTTCCCCTACCACGTACTTGCCTAGGGGGTTGGTGAAGAGAATTTGCCCCTCCAGAAGGAATGCTACAGTTGTGTGGTGTGTCACCTGGGCCCGGCGTTAGTAAAGATTTCCTAGGGTTGGAGGGAGCCTGCGTGGGCCCTTGGCTGAGCAGAACTGGGCATTGTTTCTCTTTGGAGTTGGTAGATCTCTTCTCTCTTGTCCTAATCCTGGTTGGTGTCTGTCTGCTCACCTGTAGCTCCCAAAGATTGTGTCAGGGTATTTCACTTCCGCAGTAAAAACTGGGCAAAAACCATTCACTCCAAGATATTACCAATTTATTTGTTCCTTTATACAGGTGTTTGGAAAGGGTAGTGATTGACCCAAAGGAACGTTTAATTATGTTCATCTAGTATACCAAAGTTAGCCTCCATTAGCTTAGCTGATTACTTTGCTAGACCTTAAATATGCCGGCCTGTCAGCTAGCACCGAAAGCCTACAGTTTAGGAAGCACACTGGTTCACTTTGTGTGTTTTAGATATACATAGCCTTTTAACTTTCCCTTGTGAGGGAGACAGGAAAAGCCAGAGCGAGTTGTCCAGAGGCTCCCTTTGCTGTGGGGTGGGTTCCATTTCGGCATGCAGGCTTGCAAACAGAATATCTGATGATGCACTTAGCTGGCCAAAGATGAATAGGTATTTCTGAACTCAGATAAAACTAGCCTTGATGTGAGGATGGATGGGGTATCTCACAGCATCAATTTACAAGCCGTAAGGTGAGCAGTGTTTTCGCTAAGGAGGGGCTGCAACGATGCTGATCTTCATCTGATTAAACGACACTGGGGGTGTGGGCCGGCTTCCCTTCCAGCTGCCAATGGGTGCTGTCGGCCATCCATTGTCTTGTGCCATCCCAACATGTGTGTATTCACTTCCTTCTCTGCCACCTGTTTCTTATGTGGACATTTTATCCTCTTGAGAGGTGGATCACATCTCCAGAGATGGAGATGCCAGAGTCCTGGGTCCAGAGCCCACGGCAGCCCTGACTCATTGCTGGGCTTCTCTGTCCCTAAACACCCAAGTTTCCCTATTTGTACAGAGAGTATGTTGCCAGACTTAATTGATGTTTGTAAGATGTGTCTGGATTCCTGGATTAATGGGGCCAGTGTATTCAAGAGTGATTGAAAAGGTTCTGTAATGGCTTTGTGAGAGATTGAAACCTCCTTGAGCTCTCTTTTTTCAGGAAGAGTTTAGCCTCTGCATCTTCATTTTTCTCATTTTCTGCAATGTAACCTTAAACCTACATGGTTACTCCCATCTGTTATGTGAACCGATTACCGCCTAGTCACAGTGTTGACATGCAGGAAAATGGTGCTTAGTTGATTTTTTTTTTTTTTTTTCTTAAAATAACTGCAAAGGAAGGCTTCTTTGCACCTCTGTGAGTAGATGAAATTGGAAGCTTTCCATCTACAACTTTCTGGGGCTTTCCAAGGTGCTAAGGGTGCTGTCTGATGCCCTGGTGCCCAAGATAGCTGAGATTTAAAGAATAAGATATGCAGGCCAGGCGCAGTGGGTCATGCCTGTAATCCAGCACTTTGGGAGGCCAAGGCAAGTGGATCACAAGGTCAAGGGATCGAGACCAGCCTGGCCGAGATGGTGAAACCCCGTCTCTGCTAAAAATACAAAAATTAGCCGAGCATGGTGATAGGCACCTGTAATCCCAGCTACTTGGGAGGCTGAGACAGAGAATTGTTTGAACCTGGTGAGCTAAGATTAAACCACTGCATTCCAGCCTGGGCGACAGAGTGAGACTCCATCTAAAAAAATAAAATAAAATAAAAAAATAAGAATAAGATAGGCATTGAAAAGGCGGAATTTTAACAGAAGGAAATGAGTTGTACTAGAAAAGTCATTTGAACTGGTTATTAATGGTTTGACTCCATTTCAGACACTAAAAACAAGAAACAAAAGGTAAAGTCTTGGTCTGTAGATATCTGTGTGTGTGTGTGTGTCTGTCTGTCTGTCTGTCTTTGTCTTAATCTCTAGCAAAGAAGAGTTGCTGCAACAGAGTATGACTTTTGTTGTGGGTCCAGAAGCTGAAACTCAAGGCGTTAAGAGCTAACCGTGCAAATATTTTCATTTGTTTTCTTGATAAGGCCCCAGTGTCATTTATTCAGAGTCAAGATGTGATGACATATGCTTTTAAAACACCAAACAAAGGCTAACATATAGATAGGATGCATCTAATAGGGAAGAATGTGTGGCCCATTTGTTAGGGAAAATGGAAAAGAATTGACTTTGCACTTACACATCTGTTAAGGGCCTGGGGTCTCAGTGGGTCTCAGGTAAATGGGAATTGGTTAAGTATTGTGACTGCAAAACAGACATGAATCTAAGAGGTAGAATCGGGTGACCAACATGAGGGATTCTCTGCTCAGCTCTCTAGTCTCACGTAGTTTGGAATCCTAGACTGATGGAAACCTTTTTAGGAAGCTAGACATGGTGGTTCCTACCTGTAATCCCAACATTTTGGGAGGTCGAGGCAGGAGGATCACTTGAGCTCAGGAGTTCGAGACCAGCCTAGGTAATGTGAGACCCTCAACTCTACCAAAAAAAAAAAAATTAGCCAGACATGTTGGCAGGCACCTGTAGTCCCAGCTATTCCAGAGGCTGAGGCTCATGAGAAGATCGCTTGAGCTCAAGAGTTTAAGCTTAGGGTGAACTGTGATCAGGCTACTGTACTCCAGCCTGGGCGACAGAGTGAGAGCCTGTCTCTAAAAAAAAAAAAAATCTCTGTATCTATCTACCTACCTACCTACCTATGTACCTAGCTGTCTAAATATATATGGCCGGGCGCGGTGGCTCACTCCTGCAATCACAGCAGTTTGAGAGGCCGAGACAGGTGGATCACCAGAGGTCAGGAGTTGGAGACCAGCCTGGCTAACATGGTGAAACGCCGTCTCTACTAAAAACACAAAAAATTAGCCAGGCATGGTGGCGGGTGCTGTAATCTCAGCTATTCGGGAGGTTGAGGCAGGAGAATCACTTGAACCCAGGAGGCAGAGGTTACTGTGAGCTGAGATCGCATCATTGCTCTCCAGACTGGGTGACAAGAACGATACTCTTTCGCAAAAAATAAATAAATAAGGCTGGGCACGGTGGCTCATGCCTGTAATCCCAACACATTGGGAGATGGAGGTGGGCGGATCACTTGAGGTCAGGAGTTCGAGACTAGCCTGACCAACATGGAGAAACCCTGTCTCAACTAAAAATACAAAATTAGCGGGGCATGGTGGTGCTTGCCTGTAATCCCAGCTACTTGGGAGGCTGAGGTAGGAGAATGCTTACACCCAGAGGTGGAGGTTGCTGTGAGCTGAGATCACGCCACTGCACTCCACCCTGGGCAACAAGAGCGAAACTCTGTCTGCAAGAAAAATCAAATAAAATAAAATAAATAAAAATTCAAATGAAAAACCTTTTTAGAACACTAAGAGCAACAAAATTTGGGAAAATAATTTATTAAGAATAGATTAAAACAAATATGTATGCAGCCTGCTGACTAGGCTATTGTGTAACTAAATGCCATGAAACTTAATATTTCGAGCCTTCCCCACATGAAGAGAGTGGGTGATGAAGGGCCATGTTCTTATATCTATTAAGACTCGAGGGAATTTGGTTGCATATGAAAGGAGTTAGATATTATAAAGGCTTAGATACTTTGAAGAACTGCAAGTGTAATAAGTTGCTGAAATAAATTGCCAACAGAAATGTGGGTTATATATATATAAAAAGCAAGGGCTAGACAGTTGTTTTTCTGGAAGAGTTGGATGCAGAGAAATGACATAGATGACCATAGGTGTCCATAATTCACATATTCTAAGCAATGGGTGTTTGTTTTTATACCTTTAGGTTTCCTAAGCACATTTAGATTTTGCTTAATAGGTTGGGAAATTCCAGTAATGTTATTACTGATTACATTTTTCTTTTCTTGGAATTTCCCCTAAAGATAATATTGAGCCTTACTGGAAAACTCCCCAGGTCTCACAAAGCCACAGTCCCCTCCCACTCCAGTGTAGGAAACTGAGATAGCTCAGTGCCCAAGCCTGAATTCTGTGTAACTTCTAGA